GCACACAGCTGTGCGTCTAATTTGGTATTCGATTCAGGCAGGGAATTTAATTCCCTGTTTCTAAAAACTGGGTAGAAAAGAGAAACTCAATCAACCATCGATACGCAAGAACCCACAATTAAAATCGTTGCAATAATTGTACAATGGTAATGGTAGCGTTGCGTTTTAGCCACATTGCACAAAGATAACGATGATGTTGTGTGGATCTCGAAAGTCTTCTGCACTGGCTTTATGTCCATCAAAGATAAATTTCTTGTATTTAAAGGCTTTCAATACTGGGCTCTTGGCATCGCCTTCTTTTTTGACTACAAACAAGAGAGCTTAGTTAGGCATCCCGCTTCTGTCAAGAAGCCAATTAGTTGTACAGAGCTGTGCATTTTTCGTATAAAAACTTAAAGCGAGGATGCACAAGCCAAGGACACTTTTCGCTCCACCTTAAAGTCCCTGGCAAACAGCAATTTCAATTAGTTCAATTACACAACTGCAACAAGAGAGCAAGTCGAGGGTGTAATACACCCGGGTCAGCGTGGGCAAACAACCCTTTGCTTTGAGGCTACCCTTGGCGGTACATCGATGGCAACTTTTTGCAATTAAAACTTGAAACGTGGAAGACAATAAAAATCAATTATCTTTAATTAAAGGCCAGCGACCCAGCAGCAGCTGCTGTCCAGCAAAAGGTAAAATTTTTGGATTTGGAAAAAAAGGAACGCCGAAAAAACCAAAACCAAAATGTTAGATGAATACCAACCCCGAATTGCTATTGCATTTAATTAAAAAACTGGATTCGGGGAGAAGGAGTATGGAAATGCACTTTGACCGTTGCATCCTTTCCATTAGACTTGCCCCTTTTTGCAGGTTACAGATCTAGTCTAGGGCTTTGGCTTTCGTTTATGGGGTTGCATGCGCGTTTTTGGGCGCCGAGACACGCACCACCAAAAATGGTTTCTGATTTTTTGAATACATCATTGGCAACTGGAGTGGTGTGGAATGGAGTGGAGTGGATATGAGTGGAGTGGCTGCCAAGGATGCATCGTCCGCTGGTCAGACTGCAGTCTGCCGACTGCCTGCTCTATTTATAACTGTCTGGATGGATAGATGGATGGTTGGGAGGATGGATGTGAACGAGGACGTGGATGTGGATGTGGATGTGGATGGTGTGAGAATGGGGAGTAAGTAAGGGTGGGGATGCCGGTCTGGCTGGGCGCGGTCTGGATGCTGAATTTATTTGCCATGACCATGTCGGATGTGTGGTTGTGGAGTTTCGTTGCTGCAGCATGCGTCACGGTGCCAGACGCATCGGCGGCTGTGAAAGTCGCGTTTTTGGTGACGATGTTGCAGCCAAACGCATTGCCCGCTGACCCTTTTGAAAAAGGAAAACGTGCGCCTGGGGGAAAAGTGCAAATGACAGACATGCCTGCTGATGTTGATGATTTTATCAGATACCAGACGAAATTTGGTGGTTTGTATATTGCATCTGCAGACACAATGTGCCGTTCCAAAAGCTTATACCATTGAAAATGTAATTCTTCAAACTAAAATTTAATTTCAAATCAAAAGAAAAATTTAAGATATCAAAGTCCTTTAATTAAACTTATAATTATTTTTTGTATTCAAATGCTTATACCTTATTTTGAGTTATTTAAGTTTTCAAGAGCTAATAAAAATTTAGTTCAAATATTTTAGGATAACATTATTTTGCATTTATATTGTCATATTATGCAAATTAATTTTACTCAGCCATTGTTTAAAGTCTTTTATAAATTGAAATATCGATTTTCCCCGATTTTTACTTTAAATCTTTTTTCCTTTTTGCAATATAAATAGTGTTCAAGTTGCAATTTATAGAAAGCCCTGGAAAACTCAAATTTAAGTACCCATTTAACTGAAATATAAACGAAAATTCACCTTCAATAGTAAATACCTGAGTCAAAATAAGTAGTGTCTTCATGTAGCCCTGTATACAAAGCTTTGAATAACTCCAATTGAAGTACCCATTTGCATGCAATTTTACAGTAGTAAATACGGTAAATGGCTTGTACTTTTTCTCAAAATAAGTAGTGTCCAAAGGTAACCATGTATGCAAAACCCCTGAAAAACTCCAATTGAATTCCTGTAAGTACCTTAATAATAAACATCGCTTTGGGTCTGTTTATAAAGTACTTCCAAACGCTTCCTCAGGTTTTCTTTTAAATGAGAACTTAAAGCTTCCCTTCCGACCCGGGGAAATAGTGAAATGCTTCACAGATACTTGTTAACATTCTATTGGATTTCCCTTTCACTGCTTAGGGGCTTACCCCGTCATTAGTGGGTCAGAGCACTAAGAGCCCGACCCGAGCCAGCCACCCCCTTCAGGGCTGACACATTGCCTGATCTTCCACTCGCTGTTCACGTTTACCCTGCATTGGCGAAAGGGCAAGAACTAAATCGTTTAACCTGCCACACGATGAGTGGGCCAAAGTTCTTTGGCTTTGCTTCGTTCATGGGATTTAGCGCATCCGCCTACGAGTGCACTTAATCACATGGAAGAGCAACCAACTGGCGGCCGGCTGCTCCTCCGCCTTTTGGGCACGTACGCAGTGCTAACTTCCAGAGGAAAAATGATGAGGTGATGAGGGATGGGCCCACAGGTATCCTCTGCGAGGACAGTCAAGGCGAGAGCGTAAACGATGCCAAGTGGCAAGCGAAAAACGGCTCCAGTCCGGCGGATTTTACGGAAAAGGACAGGCAACGAGCGCAACTCTTCAAATGACGAGAAGATGCTGCTTCATGTGCTAATTGCGCTGTCAAGTCAAGTGTGTGCGACGAGCAGCAGCAGCAGCATCAGCAGCAACATCAGGACTAGCAGCAATATCAACAGACCAACAGACGGAAGCAACAGCTCAAAGGCCACCCACAGACAGATATATAAATATATGTATTTATATATATATATATATATGTTTATTATATATAGCCCAATGAGCACCCCATTAGGCGTTGTTTGAGCGCAGGCTAAGAGAAAAATTGTTGCATACTTTGCGCGGCCGCAAGAAGAGCGTGCAGCCTGGTTTTGCGCTCTTCACACTCTCCGGCATTTTCTCATTATCCGCCGGCAACACAACAAGAATTTTCCACCAGCGAACGCCCGCCGAAATTAAGTAATATCCCCACTAAGGATGCCACCCAGCCCCGAATCAATAAACCATCGAACCCAGCCTGTTTATCATGTTCCCTGGCCTTTATTGACTGTTGCCGTTGCCGTTGCCCTCGCATGGAGTCAACATTTTTATCGAAACGAGCGCAGATAAGCGCCGGCAAGTCGCCAGCAGACGAACGAGAGTTTCCCAGCCAGCCAGCAACTGCCACTGGGCGAAATCGATTTTTCCAGCCCTCGCCAAAATGACAACAAGAGCAGCAACAATTGCTGCTGCTGATGTTGCTGCTGGCATTGCAGTTGCTGCTGCTTCTGATGTTGCTGCTGCTGCAGGCGGCGTGGGTGAGAACACAAGTTTTGAGCCATGCGAAATTACAATGGTTGCCGGCGGCTAGAGAAAGCTGCGAGCTAATTGCAACACAAACTGCAACGCGATGGAAAACTCGAATTTACTCTTTAATAATGCAGTAATCGTATTGGTAGAATGCCTTAATTACACTTTCGTCAGCACCAGTAATATAAGCTCTTTTCCCAATTCTTGGTTGAAAAGAAACGCCTTAACTATCAAAATAATTAGGTAATAAATTCTTTTCCCAAACAAGATTTTGCGATACAATTTTTAAGCAGTGAGAAGTTTTTCCAAAGCAATTTCAACTTTTAGCTTAGTCTTAAAGTTAGACTCTAAATCGCAACTTTACGCCAGATTTTTTAAGCTTATAACGCTTTCTTGTTTGAAATTTAATGTTATTTTGAGAAAATACATTCAATCATAAAACTTTGAAAAGAGAAATGACTCAGTCCCTCGGATTAAGTTTCCTATTATTAAGCTTTAATGAAATCGTAAAAAAAACTTTTACAGAAGACGTGAGCAGAATATAAATATTTTCTTTTCCCGTTTTGGGTTTGATTTTTTTTTTTGTATTATCAATTCAAGTGTATACAACAACCTTAAGACATCTTGTAATGAATCAAATTCTAACTAGTAATACATATAAAAAGTATCTGTATTCATGCTTCGGTTTTTTGTACGATTTTCAGCAATATTGAATAGTAAAAACTAAGCCAACTGTATATCCGATAGAACTGTACGATATCATGGACAGACTCGCAATCGCGACTCCCCGATAAGCTCCATGCATTTTCGGCACTTCAACCCCCAATTCGAAAAACTTTATCAGAATCAGCGCAGGAACTACCACCACCCACCACCACCCCGGACTTATCGGCAAGGCCAGCAGCCCCGAAGGTCCGCGGCCACCCATTGAAAAAGTACACACAAGGGATCAGGAAGCGGGAAAAGGTGGTAAGGGCTGATTGAACGGGTGCTGTGTGAGGGGCGAGTGCCCGAAAGCACGCATTAATACAGGAATCGCATCTGATAAGGGTGGCTCCAGTGGATCACCCACCCAAAAAAGCTTTGTAGACCGATGGAAAGGTGGGATCTGCACTGCAACAATTATTGTAAGTACTTAAAGTCTAGTTTTTATTTTAAAAGTATTCAAAATACTGCTGAGTAACAAAAAGCCAACAAAGATTAAGTTAAGTAAAATGTAACAAGAAAAATTTTCAAATCCCTTATCTTAATCATTATTAAGGTTTAAAGCCGATAAATTCATTTTTCCATTAATTGAAACTGGGGCAAAAACAAGAGCAGAAAGGTTTGATTTTAATTTTGAAAGATTTTTATCTGATGACAATTTATATATCTGATATAAAGATTTCTTGACAACCTAATCGAAGAGCGCTGATAAGTTCTAAGAATGGAAATCCACCACGCTTTATTTTTTCTTAATATGGAACATTTTTCTCGAGTGTGGAATTCAAATAAACTGTGCTTGCGATTTAAAATATAGCCAATAGTACTCACCCTAGCATGCATGTGCACATCGTTTTCGCCGGGCTGCTGGACTCCGGTGCGGATCTTTTTATTCTGCGGCCCCTCGGTGACGACTATGGTGGCCCCTCCTCCACCGGCGCCACTGGCGCCACTGCCATTGCTAGCGCCGTTGTAGGGCATTGTGGTCGCCGTTGCGAACTGGAGCGAAATCTCGGGGCTGATTAAAGTTTGTTGGTGTAGAATTTTGGCGGATTTTTGAGGCCTGAGCCTAGTGGTTGCGCGAAATGAATGTATTCAAGTAACGTGCGACGAAGCCGCGCGAAGTTAGAGATCTTGGGGGAAAAACGCTTTAAAAACGCGCGCGCGATTCTTTTTTGTTGGCTTACACTCGGATCTCTTCAGCGAGAAATGAGTTGTAAATGTTTACTTTGTAATTGGTGTTTATGTGGGATGTTTGGGTTATGATGGTGTAGCTGTGGGCTCCTCTTATTTATTTACTATTTGCCTCGCTTCAACTTCCTTCTTGGCGCTGTGTAAAACACTTTCAACTTTTTATTGCACTTTTGATTTGCGTGATAAATTTTCCGGTTTCCTCTGGCTGTTCTTTTGAGTTGGATTTACCAGCTGCAAGACGAATAAAAGAAAGAGAACAAGCGGTAAGGCCTTTATTATTGAAAAAACGATTCAAAATGGGGAAAATAATTTCGTTGTTCATTAAAACCGCAGTAGAAACTTGAGCATTAAATTGCATTTCCAATTTCCTGCGATTCCCAGGATACCACTTAAGCACGATTCAAAGCTTGAATGTGTCGTAAAAATAATTTAGATGATTTTGGCAATCGGGGGGAACATTTTATATGTTTAAAAATCACACTTGTCGAATATTATTTAAATTATTTTTTTTTGTATTTAGTAATTTATGTTTAATTACGGAAGGAATTTGAAAGTTTCAACATCAACTTGGCCTATTTCTACCAAAACCATACTTTCAAGAATTGGTAAACAAGCTTCTTAACGTTTTCGGATTTTTTTTAAATCGACCGATAGATTTTAGATAGAATATTCAAAAGACCATTATTTATATAACTAGACTATAAACCAATTCTTATCGGAATCTAATTGGGTAAATTATACGCCGAACAAAGAAAAAATGACGAAATAGAACAATTATATTTTAATAGGAAGTCGAAAGAATTTGGGTGGAAATACATAACAGGAAATCTATCTGAATGACAATCATATTGCGTTCCAATTGGAAAGGTAAAGCGAAGGCATTAATCAAAGAACAAAACAAAGGAAAATGCTAGAACAACCCTCGGAAAGTTGTCAAAAACAGATGGAAAAGCAGCGAAAAGCGCCGGCAAATAACAAAGCGAAAAAGGAACAGAGAGAAGGCAAAAAGCAGTGGGAATATGGCCGAAATGTCAGGATGAAGAATAGAAAGAAGCAGTGAAAGAAGGACGAACGAGGGGTGCAAAAAGAACTGTCAGAAAGGCGAAGAAGAAAAAGATGTGCTGTGAAAATCGCGTAAAAGTAAACTTGAAAAACTTTTTCGGGTCGTTTTGAGTACAACCCTTATGGAAAATGGAAAATGCCGCACACACACACATGGAGCGAAGGGAAAAGAGCGAAACATGAACGGACGGCTGACTTTGTTTTGTTTGTGGGGGTGGATTTTTCATTAATGGAACGCGGCGAACAACGGCAAAACTGAACGCTGAACTTTATGACGTGCGCTTTTTTATTTTGTTATTGTATGCGGCGGCAATTGTTATTGCACTATTCGTTTTCATTTTCATTGCCCATTTTCGCTTACAAAATGGTGGCGCGCGGTAACAGCAACAGTGCAAAATAATATTTAATTTTGAACGCACACACATGAAACTGGCCGAATTTCAATTTTGGAAAATTGGAAATTTAGTTTTTTTCTGGTCTTTCACTTGTTTATCTGTTTTTTATTGTCCGAAATTTGCAATCACATCGTTTAATTAAAATAACGTGCTGCGAAAGAACCGCTTGATAGACAACTGCACTCTGAGTGTGAAAAATGTGCGACTGTGCACCTGTCAAAGTTAGAACTGGCTGGTTGACAGTTGATTTTCAGCGGGATTGTCGCCTACTTACTCCTAAAAACTCCGCAAAACTTGGCAACACACACGCGCGCACGCACAGAAGAAACGCGAGATGATGGGGACAAAGTGAAAATTTCTACCGTTCGCTAGGAGCTTTTCCGACTCTGATTTTCTGAGTTTTTCCACTTCGACGCCGAGCTGGCGAATGTCAGTCAAATGCAAGAAGTGGAAACCTGTGAGCAAAGAGAGCGGACTGCCAGAGCGAGATGGGGCGAGAAGAGAGCAGTCAGGTAACGGTCGGCGCAGAGAGAGCGCATTTTTCTAAGGGTTGCAAGGTGTCCAAAAAAGAGCGAATGGAGAGGGAGAAAATGCAACTGCAACACTACTTTTTTAACACTGCCACTTTTTAATACACACTCTCTCGCTCTCTTTCTCTCTCCCTGAGAGAGCGAAAACTACCTTTTTGCCTGGCCCTTTTTGTGTTGAATTTTCGTGGGTGGCACAGGAAAAATCTTCCGGTTGTTCTTATTCAACAAATGTTGTTGCTGTTTTTGCACACTGTTTTTCCACACTAACACACACACAATCGCTATGGCTCACTTTCACCGTTAGCGCCAGCTTTTCTTTTTTACCTGGCCTTTTCGCTGCGCTTTTTGCACTTGTCTCGTTGTTTATTATTTATGCTTTTTCGCAGTCTTTTCGCTTTATTTTTGTTGCTGCCTCTTTTCAGTACACAAACAAAACGCAAACGCGACGGCGGCGAGAGCGAGACAGGGAGAGAGAGTGAGCGACAGACACAAACAACAAACAAACAACAACTCGCTGCGTGCGGGGGAGCGAGACGACGAGAATCGATAACCGTAGACAAGCGCGTGAAGAAGAGGCAAAATAACAACAACGACAACGACGCCGCGGAAGTATTTAATTAAGCCAAAGTATTTAATTTAAGCGTATGTGTACGCAGAATGCACGGCACCCACACGAATACACGTACTCATCAGCTCTTTGTTGTTGTCGCTTTTCTTTCAGCTACTTCTGCTGCTTCTTCTTCCTCTGTTTCTCTGTTATTTTATTAGTCGCTACTTGGCAAGCAATTTCCAACCGTGCACAAAGTTTTAGCTCGAAGCTCGAAGATTGTTTGAGGTTGGCAATCCACCGAACGCCAAGCAAAAGCAAAACCTCGGATACGTTTTTCTCTCTTTCACCGCAGCGACAGCGACGTCGACAGCAGCAGCGAATTTTCAACCGTCTCGCTCTCTTACCCGCTGTTAACCGCTTTTCTCAGTCCACGCACACTGTTAGCCCCATATAAATCGGCATGTTGGGCGCTTTTCTCATTCCACGCACGCTGTAATCGCGCTGTTAACCGTTGCCCATCGCTGAGAAAATGAGAGCATCGGTCGCCAACCGTTCTGCGTCGTCGTCGGCTTCGCAGCCGCTGCACAGTGTCCGCAATCATTAAGCGGCGGACAAAAATATTAATCCAAAAGATTTGTTATGAAAATGTTTTGTAAAATGAAAAAACACACGCGAACTTTCAATTTATTTTATTTCTTATGTGCGATCTACAATTGTGAGGACTAACTGATATGCTTAGATTCGTTTAGCAATGGAAGTAATATGTTTATTAGGAAAATTATCTCTTATATACATAATTCATGAAAAATTTAATCGTTTTAGACAAGACTCTAAAAAGCATCACAAGCTTTCAGTTGTAAGACAAATTATTGTATTAAGAAGAAAAATCAGTTTATTCTTTTTGTTTTACGTATTAAGAATAATATTGGTTCGTGGCATATTGATAACTTTTGCCACTGTGCGCTGTTTCAAGACGTAATGAGAAAATGAGAGCGGGACTTTTTTGTCTTACTTTTGTGTGAGCGAGATAGACGCACATGCCACCCATTGTGTGCGAGCAGTGCGACAATACTAAATGCGCTTGTAATGCGACTCTCTTTACAGCCACGCGCACCTCGCAAATATACATTCGGTGAAAGAGTTACAAGTGAAGAGCAATTCAATTTCTCTTTAGCTCTCCTTACAGCCGCGCGCACCTAACACAGAATGCATCAGCGCCGGACCCCACACACGCACACAGCCACACGCAAGCGTTGGCAGCGGAGAGAGAAATCTCTATCGCTTACTCTGCGGACGTTGTAATGGCAGTGCACAGTGGGCAGCAATCAAATTAAATAAAGGTCGTTTTCTTGAAAGTTTGTTAGCATACCAAACTTTTAATCAACCAGATAAAGCAACCAGTAATTTAATCGTAACTCAGATGATTTTGACTTAAATTATAGGAATACAACTTATCTAAGCAAATTTCGTATAATTTGATCAATTTAAATTTTCTGCTGTTATCTGACCCAATAGAAAACATGAAATAATAGAATTGTATGAACACATTCAGTTATAAAACCATTTATAAATATTCTGAACATTCTAAAATTTTTCGCTTTGAAATATCTCCTCCGGTTTTGTTTACGTCGGCGGTTAAAAAAGCTAGCCGCAAAAACCACTTCTTTCCCATATTCTGTTCTCATTTAATTTTAGTATTTTATTTATTTATTTATTAATTTTATTTTTAAAGGTACGTTTATTTAACTGCCTTTTCTTATTTCCAATTATGTATCTTTAAGATATCTTTTAATATTTTCATCTGTCCAATTTTGTGCACTGTCATTTAAGAGAGTTTCTTCAAAGAGTGCTGAAAGGTTTCTCTTACTATACCCTTTATTAACGAGGCGCAGCCAACAAAATTGTCACAATCGTCTTTTTGCCTTTGTACAGGATATCATTAACATAAACATAATTGTTCACATTCAAAATATTTAAGAAGTGAGAAGTTTATTTATTTGTAATCAATCTTTTTAAACTTTTTATAGATGTTTTATATTTGCATATGCTAGTTTAAATAAGAAGGAAGGTTATAGTCCCGGCTATCAGATGGCTATTCCTTTGTTAAAAAATTTTAAAATAAATGTGCATGTGAAATTCTACTGGTGCTGAAAACCATAAAGGTACAGCGCCATCTAGCGGTAAGGCTTTCTTGTATGCTATCGAAAGACAGATTTAAAATCTTACTAACTTCGATTGGTACTGTCCTATGAAATTTCGATAATTCTAGAAATTTATAGGACAAAACTAGCCAAATCCTTTTGTGTTTCAAGAGATAAATATATCTGTTAAAACGTCATTTGTATAAAAGGTCGAAGGTCGAAAATAATTATTGTTTTCTTCTTTAATTTTCTGTTAAAATCTTATAATGGTTCGGCCAGAATGTTGTCCAAGAACATTTTCAATAGGTCGGTGCATTTAATTTCGAAAGCCCATCCACTTTCAAAAACCCACTCATGACTTTGACCGTTGAGGACGTGGTCCATGTTCGCTTAATGCCAAAGTGCAGCAGCCAAGGCAGCAACAACAGTCAGCTGAATGGTAAACAACATAAACTATTTAGTCTATGTGCGGGTGGGTGAGTACTACGTGTATGTTTTGGGTCTTTGGGGCGGCGGGATGGGTGTGCATAATGGGTAGCCGCCGTAGTCGAAGCTCTGGGGACCGTAACCACACTGCTCAGTAATGTTTGTGCCATAAAGTGTGGATTAAACCGTATATTGGTATGCATTCCTTTGTGTGCCGCAACTTATCGAAGACCATTTTGTATGCCGCACTTGTTGCAGGTTTCCAGTGATTTCGTGATAATCTCCATATGGTGACCTTGCCACCATGTGGAAAAGTTGGTTAAAAAGCTTAAGAATTTCAAAAACATAGCAGATTTCTTCAAATTCTATTAACAGACTATTTTAAAAAACAATGCGCCACCTGTGGAAGATAAAAAATTCATAGTATACTTTTCAGCTTAGCTTAAAGTTTTGGTTTTGTTTCATCGCAAAAGTATGCTAATAATTTTATCAACAGTACGGACGACATCCTGCAATAATTTGCGTTCATATTCACCTGATGGAGATGTTGAGAAATTATAAAATTTTAAATAATTTTCAAATTAAATTTTAAGTACCTGAAACTTAAAATGAGTTGTATATAAAAACGCCTTTAAAAATCGAATCGATTAAAAAGTACTATACTAAAAAAATACTACCACTTTAGGTGGATCTTATATGAAATTAAATTAAAATCGTTAATCCGTAGCGTTCCGGTCAAACTGCAAATAATCAACAGTATTATGCGGCACAAACAAAATGAATAATAATAAGTTGCAGCCAAATGAAGTGGACTAAGCTTTTAGAACTCCTTGGAGCTACTCTTATTCTAATCCTAATAAAAGGGTCATCAGCAAAGTGTCCAATGGGCGCCCTACAGATCTTGGATGACTGTGTGATGTTGAGAAACCGGATTGAGGTTAACGGACGAAAATTCGTATAGCCGATTTGCAATGTATTTTTTGTTCAATTAAAGGATTTTCACTGGTTTAATACACCAAATACTCGTTGCGCACTTTTCAACTCAGAGGTGAGGTAAATCAGCTTAAGAGGGCGCTAAGTAAGTGGCCTGTTCTGGCTGCCAACTTTCGCTCGACTTTTGGGTTGCAGCGGTGCGAGGGGGTCCCCCACTTACAGGCTCCTTTAATGCTCACGCACGCAATATGTCCCTCAGCAGGATGCATCCTGGGAGTACCAGGTCCCAGCTTCCAGTTCTCGGGCAGCCGATAAGCCGACGCTATCAACGCCTTACATCCGCGCGTGTCTTGGCGATGGGATTCCCTTTCTTCCCCAGCCACCGACCACTTCGCGCTTCTCCCGGTTCCTGCACCCGCATCCGCATCCGCTTCCGCTGCATCTGCCGGAGCTTGCTATCCTGTTTTAGCCAGATTTACAACCAGGCGAGCTCATTGAGTTCCGTTGCTGCACGGAGAACAAAAAAAGACATTTTAGTACATTTAAATTAATAAAATTTGAATTTAATTATCGCGATTGACAACTTAATTTTGGAGCCCAGACTAAATATTAATTTATTTTTAAACAAATAAAATAGTTAATTTTTATTAAGATTGACATTTTTACTCTGTCTCTCTTTATATGTATCTATTTATTTTAAATCGCCATTGTAACCTTAAAGGTGCAGTATTTCTTTGGTGGTTCGAACAAAAAAAATACTGAATTCATCACCAATTTTCCTTCCACTTTCTCTCAGTGTCTATAAGAGAGTGTGTTTATCTAGGGCCCCGCCGGAAAGTGAAACGCTTATGAAAGCGCCCGACTGCTCCAGCCGTCCTGCTGTTTGACCTTCTTCGGTGGATTTGCAATGCAAAATTTAATATATAGCCGTGAGCTCGGCTCCCTGCTAATTTGCCAGCTGAAGACCATGCTTCAGACCATCTAATGCAAGTCCGCAGATACGGGCTCGAGTATGTGTGGGAATCCTCTTTTCCGGCTCTAAGGCCACACAGAAACTACAGTGCTTCTTCCGAAAAGATAAACAATGAAGTCTTGACCTAGTTGAGAGTTGCCTTTTGCACTGCCCTTTGTCATCATCATCAGCGTGGATGGGTGGTGCCAAATTCACCAACTTTACATACAAAAACTGACGCTTACCGAAATTGAGACAGCACCCGGGGTTACGTGGTGGGGCCAAGCTAACCCGAAACATTCTCCTTACATTTTTTGCTTCGTACTTTTTTTTTCCGGTTGATATGGGGCAAAGTGCAGTCAGACAGTCATTGGATCATTTGTCTTGGCATTGTTGCTTTTTCCTCTGGATTTCATTTTTTGTCTTTTTTTTATCAAGGGTTGAACTTCAATGCGGGCATTTCTTCAGGCATTTCAGTTAAAAGGGTCAGAGACAGGAAGGATATTATATTGTAGATACTACATATTACTTACATATTGAAAACTTTTTTTAGAGCATCAAATTTTGATTGATTAAATGTTAAAGTTTGAAGGGAAAATAAAAATTTGATTGATATTGTATAAATCCAGATAAACACAATATATGTTAGTGAAAACGTTTCG